TATATATATATATATATCCTTATTAGTCCGTTTAAAAAAATAATATATTTTTATAATTGTAAATAATTCAACTTTAAATTTTCGTTTTACCATTTTATCCTTAATAAAAGTTGTTATAACCACACAAATGTTATGACCCAACAAATCTTTTACCCTAAGCTTTTTAAGACCATAATTTTCAAAAGTTTTTTTTTTTTTTTTTTAAAAAACTCCGGCAAAGTCAAACTAGCTCATCTAAATTGAAATGGAAAGAGTATATAAATATGTTAATGTATTAATGGTCATTTCTAATGTATTAAAGATTGGGTTCTTCTCTCTTTTGCCGTTATATTACCTATTTGTTGTTGCCATTTTTGGAATTCGTGATTAACATGTACTTTTCACTATGGTTTGGTGATAAGAGTGTGTATAAAGACATGCCGTGTATTCACTGAGTTGGTGTAAATACAACTATAAGTTTTTAACCAGCACTCTACCTTACTTTGTGAGAGAATTTGAGTTATTTTGAATTCTGGGCTGTCATTATTTTCTTCCATATGTGATTGTCCATTGCAAGCTGGACACCCCACTTTTATTTCTGAGTTGTTTCATCAACTTAAAGAAGAAGATTAGGTGTTCTATTTCTCAGGCTTGTATGTCCCAAGTGTTGACGAAGAATCAACTTTTATTCGATTAATGTGATTATATCTCTAATTGTTTGTGGTTCTAGTAAAGAGTTTTAGGTATAGAGTCTGTTGGTTTGTTCGCAATTGTTTCCATTAGTGATCTGCTCTGTTTTGATTGTAATGTTCCTGTAATAGCCAATTACATTGACTTCTTTTGATTTTTGTATTAAAATGGCTACTGTGCTTTGTGGGGTTTGTTGCATTTGCTTCTTTCTTTATGTATTGCGTTCAGTCACTTCTTGTTTTACCCAAAGATTTTTGTAGTTTTATACTGATAGTTGCTGAAGATAAGCTCTCGCACAAAAAAGATACTCCATATATTTATTTTAATTTTGAGGTTGCTGTTTAATTTTCATGCTTCCGAGTTCTGTGTCTTTAGAGGTAGGTTATATACAAAGGAAGCCAAAACGATATAGGAACAAAAGGTTCCATGTTGATTTTTTCTCCTTTTTGTTTGAGGTTGACTTTCCAGTATAGTTTTTAGTGCAACACATATTAGTCAAATAGAGTTTTAGGCAAACATGAGATCGTTTTGATTCCTATCTTTAGTTCGTCGTGTTCTTTGAGATTGTTTTTTCTGTTATTTCTCTTCGAATCACTTATGTCCTCATCTTTGTTTGTTTTTTCTGGAAGGAAGTCTCCTTATTCTGGATTGTGTGATTGTCTAGGAAGGTACATCCTGGGACTTGCATAAGTCGATACGAGTTTTAGCTCAATAAGAATGCCCCTTATTTGTGATGTTTGCTGGCGTGCTGTTGGCTTTCCCATTATCTGCTTCTGAAATCGTCTACGTTGGCATGTAACCCTGGACCCATTGATATTTTGTGTGCAGTGAAGGGGCTGAAGGACTTGAATTTTGTGACCAGACGTATGGAACCTAATGGTTACAGAAAGGGTAACAAAAAGAATCTTGTTACCCTAAATGGTAATCATAGCCCGTTGATTGTAGATGAGGAGCTGGACCCCTGGACAGCTTGGGCATACAAACCTCGTACTATTACGTTGTTGCTTATTGGCGCATGTTTCCTCATGTAAGTTTCTTAGTCAGCAGGCTCTATAAATCTTAGTTTATAACACTTAGGGATTAGTTCTTTCTTGACTGATTTGTCAGACTTCGATGAAGCTCTTAAAAGGTTTCTAATTATTGTCTTAGTTTCAGCTGGTTCTTCTAAAGTCTATATCTTGAATCCTGTCTCATCAAGTTTAATTATCTGCAGTCTATCTATTGTTTTGGATATTAACGTAGTAGAAATTGAACTATTAAATTTTGTTAGATATTTATTTTCTATCCCTCTTACCTGAGGTTCTCTCGGAACGGAAATACGACCACATTTTTCCTGGGTTTCAGCACCCAGTCTGTTTTGGTTGTCTGAAATCTTTAAATTATATATGAAGGGGAAGTAAAGAAATGATGAAAGAAAACCCAACCACAATATAACAGTCCCGCCCTTAAAATCCCCATTTGACAAGACCAGTACTCTTATAATACATGTAGAAAGTTTCCTCTGTCCAAATGAATTTTGGGGCAAGCTTCTTTCCGACCAGACTGACCTGGCAAAAATTATCTTCCTAAGAATAGCTCCCTTCTTATAAAAAGATATATAATGAGAATCAGCTGAAGCATTCAAGATTAATCTTTCTTATTCGAGAGTCTTATCAAACTCTCTGCAACTCTAGGTGCGACGCAAGTAGTAGCGATTGAAAGAGTTGATGGGGCATGATCACGATTATAAGCATCCTATTTAGTTTAGGGATTTAGGGATTAAGCCCGTTCAGGAACTGAGATGATTCATCTTAGTCTTGGTATGCCGGGTATGTCTTTGGCCAAGACCAGGGATTGACGAATAGGTGGCGGTCTATCTTTTTTTGGGCGAGCTGCGAAGCTACTTTTTCTTTCTTTCATTCCATCTGTTGCTTGATTGGTTAAAGAGAGAGCTTTGATAAGACTGTTCCACAAAGAGTGTAGCTAAACACTTCTTGATAAGTCTATCAAATTGTTGATCTAAAGATTCATGGCGGATATAGTTGTGTCAATCTTGTGATGTGGTCCTCGGCTTCTGAAATCTGACTGCCAATTTTCATTCCATAATTCCATTTCAGGGATCTGATCACTTTGTTGACACTATTGTCTATTTCTTCTTCTTTTAGTGTACATCTTGGTAATTAAATCAAGATGACCTCCTGATGCACAGCATATGACATGTCAAAGACATAGGAAAAATCGTTAACTTTTCCTCTTTTCTTTGATTAGTCATTTGGTAATTCTCTTCTACAGGAAAATATAAGGGTGTTTTTCATATTTAACTCTTTCTTTACCAAAATTCTGGAAAAGAGAAAAAGCGCAGTTGCTCTGGGGTATTATTGAGTGATATTGTGATACAGCCAAAGCATATAGCACACTTGGGCTATGAATCCTTACTTACTGGTTATTGATGCTTTATCCATTTCTTGTTCACTATTTACTAGAATTTCCTAACTTTTGAAAGCTAATGTGATTTGCTGTTGGACATGAGTTTATATGTGTATGTTCTGACTTGCTTATGTCATCACTATTGCAGCTGGGCAAGTGGAGCTCTTGATCCACAAAGCACTTCATCCAGTGACGTTTCTACTTCTGTGAAAAGGTTTGCCATTTTCAGTACATTTTTATCCAATCGTTTTTCTTAATCATGTGTGAGAAATTGAAGTAATTGTTTTTTTTCCTTCATCTGTTAGGGGCGTTTGGGCAATGGTTGCTGTTTATCTTGCCTACTCTTTGCTGCAAGCCCCCTCAACGTAAGTTGTTTTCACATTTTATTTGTCTAAGAATGAATGGTTTGAATTTTTGGGTATTTTTGTGTTAAGACTGTTTGGGTGTTTCTATAGCCTAAAAAAGTTGAGTTAATGGTTATTACTGGCGTAAATGTCTGTATTGTTCACCACGCGAGCAGTGAAAGGATTTACCCGCCAAATTCTGATACAGGCGCACATGTAGAATTTTTTGGGTGATATTCTCTCTTCATTTTGACAGGATTCTTTATGGAGCTTCTTTTACTCAGTTCTCAACTAGGCGAGTCCAGGAAGTCGTGTTCTTAAATTTTATTTTCTTCTTTGAACTTGAAGTTGGAATTTTTCTACAATGTAATTGTAAACTAACTCGAATTTTTAGTTTCCTCTGGCTTTGAATGTGGTTGAGAATTCACCTTATTTTCTCCTTGTGGACCTCAAAGAGCAAATTTATGTGGAGTTTGTGGCAATAGCTTTCTACCCACTTAATTTTTTCAGTTCTTTCTTACAGGGTACTTATTAGACCACATCCTGCCATTTGGCGCCTGGTTCATGGAATGGCTGTCATTTATCTTGTTGCTTTGACATTTTTACTTTTTCAGGTGGGTTGGTAAGCAGATGTTGTTTCTTATTACCCGTTGTGTTAATCAATCAGTAGCTTTAGTTTCTTCCATCTCTGTTTTCTTATTATATTTATTCATGTGTTGTTGCAGCCATTTAATTAAATTGTGAATATGAAAACTCTGTTCCTTTCTTTTCTCAGAGGCGCGATGATGCTCGTCAGTTTATGAGATATCTGCATCCTGATCTTGGTATTGGTAAGGATTTTGATCTACTCGTAGAAATGTTTTGTGATTCAGTTCATGCAGGTCCGTTCTGTTCATATGTTTTGCATGTTTTGCTTTGTGGCATAGCTAAGACCAATTTGACTTGCTATGCAGAACTTCCTGAAAGATCTTATGGTGCTGATTGCAGACTCTATGTACCTGAAAATCCCACGAACAGGTTTAAGAATGTCTATGTATGGTTTCTCTTTGTACTACTTTTTACCTCAATTTTATTTTGTTTATTAGTTTTGTTCTGCATGTATGCATTGAGCCTGCTAAAAGTAATAGTCTGGACTTCAAACATATCTGAGGGGTGTATTTACTTTGTAGGACACATTATTCGATGAGTTTGTTCTGGCTCATATATTAGGGTGGTGGGGAAAGGCCATAATGATACGTAATCAGCCCCTTTTATGGGTCTTATCAATTGGGTTCGAGTTGATGGAGGTCAGAGCCTCTATGGCTTCTTTCAAATGCTTTAAGCTCCGGCTTTTTATTTTTAAATACGACCATTTTAGGCAAGTGGTTAACTGATTATTTTCCTTGTTATAACTTGTCTTTACACTGCTATTTTCAGCTTACTTTCCGTCACATGTTACCAAACTTCAACGAGTGCTGGTGGGACAGCATTATTCTGGATATATTGATCTGCAACTGGTTTGGTGAGAAATTTGAAGCCATTCTCTTGGGCTGTTATGAGATGGGTCATATTTGGACATGCTTATCTTAATTGATGACCATTATTTGTCTGATGAATTTTTAGTATCTCGCTACTATATTATTACATACATTTGAGACAGAACAATTTAGGGATGATTTAAATATATTTATACATTATTGTGTGTGGGTACTGTTGTATATAACATATATACTATCAGAACAAGCCATGAAGGACATGCCACATCCGAGCAATGATGTGATTATATTATGGACAATGTTATTGAATTTGGTATCAGTTGGCACATTTCGTGTCATTCGTGTAGCCAAATTTCAAGGACCAGTCTGAAGATTAGAGAAAAATTATTTAAAAAAAAGTTGTGATGCCAGTTGGTGTCCAGTCTTCTTAAATGTTATTTCACTAACATGCTTCAATATGATACTTGCATGTTAAGTGAAATTACAAGGGGTTGTTACAAGAAACATTAAACTTTATTCTCTCCATAGCTAGTTTATATTCTTTTGACTTGTTCTTTAGATTGATAAAATATACTAAAACTTAACCTTTCTGGTTTCCTTTAGGCATCTGGGCTGGAATGCGTACTGTTCAATATTTTGATGGGAGAACATATCAATGGGTTGGTTTAAGCCGGCAGCCAAATATTATAGGCAAGGTTTGTCCCTTCAACTGTGTACGTTGATTGTAAAAGTCTGTCTGGTTTGAGTGTTATCATATAATGCTTAAATAATTTAATGCTTAAATATTTAATGTGTTTGGTGTTGAGACATCGTAATACTGCAACATTTGAGCAGTTTGTTGATAAATGTCTTATGTGGATTCAGTGTGAACACCATAACTGCAACTAACTGTGTAGACTAATTGCTATTGGTCATTTTGGCTAGTGGAGTTTTCAAATATTTCTGAGAGAATGTTTTTCTTTTTATAACCGAGAAATCCCGAGAACCAGTGAGGCAGTGACACAGGGTTTGAAACTCGGTGGAATTTGCTCATTGTTGCTGATAGCCTTTTCACCCCGTAATTGTCCTTCATTCCCGAGAGAATGATCCCTGACTGTTAACTACAAATATAATGGAAATATATCACCCCTAAAGGATAGGTGATTGTGATTGTTGGATTTGAGTAGTTGGCATCCATCATGAGTTAGAACACAAGTTGTCCAAGGAAATTTGTCGGTACCTGGTGTTTACTTTGTGTCCATCTTTCTCAAACCAGTGAGGAACCACGAATTCCTCAACCTATGGTATTATTTAATCGTACTGCATAGGATACTCGAAGCGAGATATAGATATTACTTGACCGAACATCAATATAAAGAGGATTGGATTTAATTTTATAACTCTCTGCAGGGTGTTATGCACGTATATGTGATCTGCACCTTGTCTTTCAAATTCTTGTTGTTGAATTTTAGATCAAGATCTTCGATAATGCATCCCATCCAGTTACTCTATGTTATGTACTTCAAATTAATTCACCACCTAGTTTGGAGTTGGAGTTGAGGTGTAGTTGACTAATTGGTTGAATGATTTTAACTTGACTGTACTAACAGTTCTAGTTGGGTTCCTGGAGCTTGGAGCTTTTGGCAAAAAGCTGGCACTATAAAGTATTTGAGTCAGTTATTGTATGTTGAGTCAGGTTGTTTCACTAAATCTATGTTCTGGCATATTCTATATCTGACTTCAGCGCTACAGTTCCTCCAAATTTCTTAGGAGGAATATGAATTTTTTTGTCTTGACAGCCGTATGAATGGTTTTTCGTTAGACACATATAGCTTCCTTTTGGTTTTGCAGGTCAAGCGAACACTTGGCCAATTTACTCCAGCACATTGGGATAAAGATGAATGGCATCCCCTCCTTGGTCCCTGGCGATTCCTTCAAGTTCTCAGTCTCTGTGTTGTGTTCTTAACCGTAGAATTGAATACGTTCTTTTTGAAGTTCTGCCTTTGGATTCCTCCCAGAAACCCTCTGATAGTGTATAGGTTGGTTCTGTGGTGGTTACTTGCAATACCAACAATTAGGGAATATAATACTTACCTACAGGACAGGTAAATCCTACTATTTTATCACAAGAATTATGAATTGTAGTGTATTCGTTGCCTGGCGTCTGTTTTCTATGTGCTTCACTTTTTTCCCCGTACTCCACATTATAAACAGGAAACCAGTGAAAAAGGTGGGAGCATTTTGCTGGCTTGCACTAGCTATCTGCATTGTTGAACTCCTAATCTGCGTCAAGTTTGGACATGGTCAGCGCTCAACACCATTCTGAATTCTAATTGTGATGTATCTCATTAGTTAGTTAATCTCATCCCTTTCTGCCATCTTTCAGGATTATTTCCGGACCCCATGCCTAATTGGTTAGTAGTTTTCTGGACATGCACGGGCATTGGCCTTGTGATATTTTTGGCTGCATGGTCATGTCAATTACACCGTACAATGAGGAAAAAACAGCAATGAGTTTTTGCAGTACTTCCATTCTTTATTCCTTTGTGTTATTTCGGGTAACCAACCGTCTTGTAAATACTGAATACCTTTTAACTGTATATGCTGTCTTCCTAGGTTAGGTATTACAGTTGAAAAATGTAGTGAATCACAATTCTTTATGGTTAGGTCATAGGTTGGTAGATACCCTGTTTCACTGTTTGTGCTGCCTCAGTCTGCAGGCTCTTTTTTCCCTTCCCTTTTTGTAATTTTTTTTTTACAGGTGTATGTTGAAAGTGTTGCCAAATATAAATTTCAGTTCTATATCTGAGGTACATATTTTCCCTCTCCTCATTGCAGATGGACTTAATTATTCCCTTTCAAATTGTGTTTACTTTGCATGTGAGAGTGTGGTCCTCGCAAAAGTTCTTAGGTAATCTTAACCATGTATAGCCCTAGATTCTATCTCATATTCTGATTAACCCTTTCAAGGTTAATGTGAAACTAGGATTTTGAGTTTATGGGTTCTGGATTCTAGAAAAGGTAGACTGAATTTTGGATAATTATTTATACATAATAAATGGATTTTGAGACACAAATACAGTGTTTGGGCGAAAGTTATTGGGTTTGGCATAACTGTACTCCCACTCTAGCTCCAAGAGCTATTGTTCTCTCAAGGAATAGTGAGTTTAGCCAAAAGGAAACAGAGAGAATCTGACACAAAGAGAGTTGAGATATGTCTTTGTGTTGGAGGTATGATACATCTCAAATACTGTTGCCGGAATTTACTCAGAATTTTACTTGTATCTTCACTAAAAGCCTTTGGTCAGAGTTAAAAGCTTAGAATTTCCCCAAAGAATACAAGGAATGGAGACACCAAATGTACCTTCCCATACTAATTCGGATCTCTTTTTGATTCAACAAATGGTTGGATTCGATAGATTCTTGCTAAACAAAGTTAAAAATTAATCAGGAATAGCCTGAACAATACAGAAACCAACGAGTGAATTTTAGTAACCCTGTCTAGTCAAATGGAATATAGGTCAAGATGATCTTTATACGTGTTTGCTCTCACCTCTAGCATCTATTTAACTTATTTCACATTTAACATATATTTTAGATCTTGCATCGAATTGTTGTTTGTTAAAAATGGGTTATTCTTGTATAAATAAGTATATTAAAGGACTTGGCAAATTATTTTGGTGCGAGAGCGAATAGTGACATTTTGAGATAAATAGGCAAACATGAGTGATTTGGAAATAAACCCGTATTCCATTTGACCTAGACAGGGTTATTCACTTTTGGTTTTTTTAGGACAAAAACATCACTCATGTTTGCCTATATATCTCAAAATGTCTCTATTCACTCTCACTAAAATAATTTGCCATGTCATTTAATATACTTATTTATACAAGAATAACCTATTTTTTAACATACAACAATTCGACGCAAGATCTAAAATATATGTTAAATGACTATTTTTTAAGGACCACTTTTCAAATGCTTATTATGATAATGGCTATTAAGTCAATATAAGATTTAGTAGTAATTAGGAGATGTAATTACTGTAGCGAGAGGTTTTATCAGTTGGGACAAGCCATTAATCGAAGTCATGTGACACATAATTTGAAGCTTGACCTCTAATGGACAAAAAGCTAGTCAAACTTTCAAATATTTAGCCCAACGAAAAAAAATGACAAGTTAAAAAAAAATGAAGACTAGTTTGGCTGGGTTGGAATGACAATATAGTGATAAGATTCTAAATTTCTTTTATATCTTAAAACGAATATCGAATATCATAAAAGAAAACTGTCTCAAAACAGTAACAAGAAATAACACTATTAGTCACCAGAATCAATGAAAACATTGTCACAAAAAACTTTATGACGACATTAAGTGAGTTTGGACATAAGAATTGTAAAATTCCAAAACAAAAAGTGATTTCTTTTTTAAATAAAAATAATATTTAAAAATTAGAGTTGTATTTGAACATGAATATAATTTTGGGTTGTTTTTGAATTTTTGTGAGTGATCTGAGTGAAAAATTTTTAAAACAGTTTTTTGAAAATTTTTAAATTTTCAAAAAATTCCAAAATTTATTTTCAAGTGAAAATTGAAAATTTTGTGGCCAAACATTGATTTCGAAAAAAGTAAAAAAATTCTTATGTCCAAACGGATTCTAAGATCCGTAAAACTAGTAATGTAATTGAAAATTATTTGTGATGATCCTTAGAAGTGGTCACAATTAAAAAACAAAATTGCCACAAGAGTAGCAGAGATCATCACTAAAAAAAAATGCACACTAATAATTTTATTATTCTAAAAAATAATTACATAAGGGTTTATTCTTATATGAATAGGCATTTTAAATGATATGACAAATAATTATAGTGAGAGAGTGTGGGTAGTGACCTTTTGAGATATATAAACAAATATGAGTGATTTTATTATCCTAGAAAAAATAAAAGTGATTTTCTTGAGTAATTTCTACCACATGTGAAATTAAAAAATAACTAGATTTACAAGTGGTAATTGAAAAATAGCTACAATTTTAAAATTAATTAAAATTTGCCTGCTTTTCATGTAAAAATAAATCTGAACGAAAACACTGTTCAAAATTTGGAAAATATTCTAGCATAATATACTGGACTTCCAGCATAATATACTGGTCCAGCATAATATGTTGGAAGTTCATACACAAGTGCTCTAATCTCCAATATATTATGCTGGAACTTTCCGTGTGTTGGAGTTCCAGCATAATATGCCGGAAGTTCATACACAGGTGCACCAATCTCCAGTATATTATGCTGGGAATTTTTGTGTTGCAATAAAATAATGGCTATTTTTTAATGACTTTGTAAATGCTGCCTATTTTTCAATTACCAGTCCGAAAACGGGTTAGGCCGTGCTATTTATCTAGTTAATTGACTCCAGTTTCATCCAACTTCTCCATTATTCAATATAGCAAAAAGAAAGCACAAATCCTGTAGCCTGACATCTTAAAGACATAACTTCGATGGTAACTTTGGATATGCTCTGAAACAATGAAGACTAACAGAATAGGGATACTAATAGAGTGAAGACCCATCAGAATTCTGCATGTTTGCTTACGGTATTTGTAATTTTCGTAATGTTTGACGACCAAGGGTATGTGCCATGGTCCATGCTATTCGTCGATGACATAGTTTTGATTGATGAGTCGCGAGTCGGTGTTAACGAGAAGTTGGAGGTTTGGAGACATGCTCGTGAGTCTAAGGGTTTCAAGCTGAGCAGGACGAAGACGGAATACCTGGAGTGTAAGTTCAGCGCTGAGCCAGGGGAAGTGAACGTGGGTGTGAGGCTTGATTCGCAGGTCATCCCGAGTAGAGGCAGCTTCAAGTACCTTGGTTCGGTTATCCAGAGGGGGAGGGGAGATAGACGAGGATGTCACACACCGTATTGGGGTAGGATGGATGACGTGGAGGTTAGCATCTGGAGTCCTGTGTGACAAGAGAGTGCCACCGATACTCAAAGGTAAGTTTTATAAAGCGGTGGTTAGACCGGCCATGATGTATGGGGGTGAGTGTTGGCCCGTTAAGAACTCACATATCCAGAAAATGAAAGTAGCAGGAATGAGGATGTTGCGGTGGATGTGCGGGCACACTAGGATAGATAAGATTAGGAATGATGATATTCGGGAGAAGGTACATGTGACTCCCATTGATGATAAGATGCGGGAAGCAAGGCTTAGATGGTTCGGACATGTTCAGAGGAGAAGCCCAGATGCTCCGGTACGGAGGTGTGAGCAGCTAGTTGCGGAAGGCACGAGAAGAGGTAGAAGGCGGCATAAGAAGTATTGGGGAGAGGTGATCAGGCAGGATATGACGAAGCTCCAGATTTTCGAGGACATGACACTTGACAGGAAGATGTGGAGGTCGAGTATTAGAGTTGTATGTTAGAAGGTAGTTGAGTCGTGCCTTACATCGTACTATGGTGGGACTAGCCATGTAGGGTTTTTGTCTAAGATAACTAGTGGGAATGTTGTGACTTACTATTTCGCTTTTCAGTGCATGTCCTATTTACTAGCTATCGCTTTTGCTTTACATCTTTCTTCTAGATTTCATGGTGTTCCTATTTTCCTTATGACTGTTGTGGTAATACTAATATTGTCTCCCTTTGCTTTGCATCTTTCTTCTGGATTTCATGGTGTTCCTATTTATCCTATGATTGTTGTTGTGATACTAATATTGTCTCCCTTTGCTTTGCATCTTTCTTCTGGATTTCATGGTGTTCCTATTTATCCTATGATTGTTGTTGTGATACTAATATTGTCTCCCTTTTTGCCCTTTTGTCTTTTTTTTTTTGAGCCGAGGGTCTTTCGGAAACAGTCTCTCTACTCTTTCGGAGTAGGGGTAAGGTTTGCGTACACACTACTTTCCTCAGATCCCATTAGTGAAATTTTACTGAGTTGTTGTTGTAATGTTTGACGACCTAGAGATGTTCAAAGAAAAGCACCATTTTTTCCTCGGATGTAAATTACTTATACTGACAGTGTAAAATTTTACACAATATCAATGCATTTTAATACCTCCCTCCCATCCCAAAACCAAGTATATGACTAATTTATTTGGGGTTATTACGTAGACCAAATCTTAACCTTAAAGACTCAACAAAAAGAGAAAAAACAATTGCGAGTAGACGAAAACATTTATCGGATCCAAAATATATGGGTCCAATGCATATTACTTGTCAAGTGACAAAACATTGCGTGGCGTGTTCCCTAATGAGATTGGTTTTCATTGAATGTCTTTGTTTAATAAATGGATTTCGCCTCTTTGCCCTTTCAGCTCCGTCTCTTCTTCTCTCTCCTTCACCAAGAATACCATAATTTTTTAATTTTGGAAGCATAATTTCTTGTTTGGGGTTTAAAATTTGAAGTTAATGGTTTATTATGTTAAGATCATTTGAGTGTTGATTATTTATGCTTATATTTTTAGTTTTGATTATCCAAAAAACGAATAGAGTTGAATTTATACGTAGTTCTAACGTTACATGGTATAACTTGGTACAAATTAAAAAAATAAGCAGAAATATATCGAATATTGACTGTAAAAAAGAAATAAATACAAACCCAAATTGACTAGAGGATAGATTTATAAATGAACAAGATGAACCAATGTCTAAAGCCCCAAAAAGGGATAATCTTTACTAGATGTGTGTGTATCTCAATAATCTATGAAATGTGAGAATGTATCAATATCTAGATGAATCTGTCCCTTACAGAAATGATAGCCACTGTTCATATAGTGGAGGAATCCTACTTTGGATATAATTAAAAATACATAGTGGGGATCCCATGATAGATTAAT